TCCACATAACAGTTTTATAAATTTTGAGATAACAGTTATATTTTAGTAAAAGTCTTAGAAAGTCAAGTGAAGCCAACATTCTATTCTTGTTTTGTTCTCTTTTTTCTATCACGAAATCAGGTGGCTCATCTGTCCTAAGACAGACTGGAAACTTAAATAAGCATACTTGACTCTAGAGAAGAAGGAACCCTAACCCAACTCCATAGTCAACTTTTTAATAAAGCAGAACAATGGAAAACAATATTTCAATATTATCCATATTTAAAAGACATCTCAATTCCTGCTAAACAATTCAGTGACGGGAGGGACCAGAGCAACCTGAGAACAGAGAAGGCTCAGAGATTCACAGCTCTGGTTATTAAAGCAACCACAGCAAGTGGCCAGAATGGCTGCAGTGCTAGTCAGTCTGTGTGTCCTGTCCCGTCCCTGTCTCTCCCCCCACCCCCCACCCCTACCCCCTCCTACCCTCCTCCACACCTTGGGTCACAACTTCATCTCAGCTAGTGTCTAGTAGCTGACCCAGATCTGACCTGGACCATGAAAAACAAAGCAGTGAGAAAGTTTTCTCGCCTGTGGCTGTGGAGGCTGAGGCTGCAGCCAGGACTGTTGCTCAGGCTATGACAGAGGAGGTGGCAGATTTAAAGAGACAGGCACAGCAAAACGAAACCAGTAAACAGAGTGCACAAAGTGTCCAAGGGACAGAGTCTGCAGAAATAAAAGCGGTAAGCATAGAACACAGAAGACTCACACAGTCAAAAAAGATTGGTCAAAAAGAAAACATATGGTGGCCACCTTTATTCATATACTTAACTTGACTGATTTCTGTCTCGGTTCCCAGCATCCAAGAACCAGGTGGGCAGAATGACTTTTTGCTAGTGCCCTGGGCAGAAGACAAAACACAGAATAAAACACAGGGGACCAAGGACCAGGCACCAAAACCAAAACAAAAAACAGATGGGCACTGCAGCATTACTAGTGCCCTGGACAGGAGTTCGTGTACCTCATCAGGTACCTCCCTGCCCCCCATTTGGGATCCCAGCAGAAACAGTACCAGATGTAATGGGAGACACCTTATGACATACCAATGGAGCTGCCTCAGACAAGTGCTTACTGGGTTCTTGTAGCGCAGCACTTTGCTCCAACAATCCACCAAACCGAAAGCATGCCTCAGAACCTTGGAACCATCTTCAAGGTGCACACCAACTCCCGAGGCAACATCCTGGCCCCGGGGTCCTAGAGTGAAGGTCTGGCTTCAGAATTTGGGTTGGGGTCTTGATCTCACTGGGGCCTCCAATTATTATTATTACTACTATTATTATTATTTTGGTTTTTTTGAAACAGGGTTTCTCTGTGTAGCTTTGGAGCCTGTCCTAGAACTCACTTTGTAGACCAGGCTGGCCTTGAACTCACAGAGATCCACCTGCTTCTGCCTCCCAAGTGCCGGGATTAAAGGCATGTGCCACCACCACCTGGCTGGGGCCTCCAATTATTAATCCCACTAACAAGAGTAAAGACTATTATCCAAATTCTTTTAATCAAAATAAGCAAGCTTATTTTCTGTCAGACAGGGTGTGGTAGTTTGACTGTAATTGGCCCCATAATCTCATAGACAGTGGCACTATTAGGAGGTGTGGCTTTGTTGGAGTGGGTGTGGCCTTGTTGGAGGAAGTGTGTCACTGTGGGGGCGGGCTTTGAGGTTTCCTATGCTCAGGATACCACCCAGTATATTAGTCTACTTCCTGTTGCCTGCAAGATGTAAGACTCTCAGCTGTTCCTCTAACACCATGTCTGCCTGCACGTTGCCATGCTCCCTGCCGTGATGATAGTGGACTGAACCTCTGAAACTGTAAGCTGCCACACCAAATCAATGTTTTCCTTGTAAGAGTTGCTGTGGTCATGGTGTCTTTTTCACAGCAATAAAAACCCTAACTAAGACACAGGGCTATCTCCCTAAAGCAGGGTTCGAGAAAATAGCATTGAACATAGGAAAAAGTAGGGTTTTATATAGCCCAAAAAAACCTGCAAGGCTAGAGGGTTACCAAGGGTTTTCGGTTATATAGGAACTTGGCAAAACATCTCAAAATTTTTTGGCAGAACATCTTATCAGGGTGGAGGTTAAGGTGTAGGGTGTGGAACATGTCAAATTCCAGAAAAAGGGTCAAGACCTGGTCAAATCCAAACTTTAAAGGAAACAGGAATGAACTTACTTTGACCGTGTGACAAGATGGCTTTTAATCTGAAGATGGAGTCAGGCTGGTCCATCACCCACAGTAAAATAACAAAAACAGGGTTTGCTGCTGTAATTCCTGAATTCCTTTGGTGAGAAGGGAGACAAACGGAAGTGGCTGGAAGAAATGGGGCTAGCCTGGGCTGTACAGTGCAGCACAGACCAAGAGACTTCGCTGCCTTAACAAGGTGGAAGATGAGCACCCACTCTGGAAATTGTTTTCAAGGTCATTCTAAGTACATAGTGAGTTTGAGGCTAGCCTGAGCTACATGAGCCCCTGTCTATTCCTGTACAAAAGGTTGAAAGAAACAGCTTCTTGGTGTATGCTTTTCAATAGATTGTAATTTGTTCTGGAGTGAAACCATCTAGTTGCTTCAGATTTTGTTGATGGTGGTGGTTTTTATTATTTTTTTCAAGACAGGGTTTCTCTGTGTAGCTTTGCGCCTTTCCTGGATCTTGCTGTGTAGACCAGGCTGGCCTCGAACTCACAAAGATCTGCCTGCCTCTGTCTCCCCAGTGCTGGGATTAAAGGCATGCACCACCACATCCCTGCCGGTTGTTTCAGGATTTAAAAGCATAGTGAAAGTTCAAAAAGGTTTGCAGAAAATAATCCTTTTTTTTTTTTTTTTTTTTTTTTTTTTTGGCTTTAGTTTTAATGCTTGCAATGAGCTTGGGGAAAAGCTATGAAACGTGTTAAAATTTTGGTCACGATCATTCCATTTCAGTGACCTTGTCTATAAAGTAAGCTTATGAACACTGCCCGCTGTCATCAGGGCGAAGCCAGACCACACCCCTCAGCCTGTCCTTCTGCCAGCTGCAAGCTGCTCCCCTTGGCACTGGCTTTGATTGTATAACCTGTTAGTTTCCTGCACTGACATCCACCCGACTTCTCCTTTGTGGCTTCTGGGCTTTGTGCAAAACTTGGGAAGTTCTAGTTCTGGGAAGGTTTCACTGTTTTCTCTTAACTGTTACCTGAGAAGATAAAACTGGCTAACTTGTATTTATTTACACACAAGGTCTTCCTTTGTAGCCCAGGCTGGCCCTGAGTTTGTGGCCATCTTTTGGCCTTTGTGAGCTCTTACCCCGCCTCTTCTCAGCTGCTGAGAAGCTGCTTACATTGGTTTATGGGATGGAGACCATCTTTCTCACAGCTGTGGAGCTGCCATGTTGCTGCTGCAGGCCTTGGCCGGTCCCTTCCATGCCTGGTTTCCCGGCTCTCCATCCTCTGAGAGGATTTATTTCCCCCTGCCTCCCTTTTTGGAATCCTCCTAGCCCTGTGACAGCTGTAAGACCATGAGCCTTCCTGTCTAGGCTGGACGTGGGATCCCGGAGAGATGTCTTCCTGAGATGACCCTGTCTCCTTTTTGTCCTCCTCCTCCTTCCTGACACAGGGTCTCACTGTAGCCCAGGCTGACCTTGAACTTGTGATGATCCTCCTGCCTTGGCCTGTGGCCTGCAGGGATTATGGGTGCAAGCCACCATGCCTGGCTCCCCGCCTTCTAGACACTGAAGGCACCACAAGCAGGCCTTTGGTGCCTCAGTGGTTTAGCAAGAGGAGGTGGTGTCCAAGGCCAGGCCAAGGGCCACTCAGGGCTGCAGCTGGGGCTGGGACTGAGGCTGGAACACTATTTGGAGCTGGTTTGGACCTTACTGGGTTTGGTCCCATCCAGAATCGAGACCAAAAGAAAAAATGTGGGTCTCCCTTTGGAACTGAGAGTGTATGCATCCGGCCTTCTGCTACAGAGGATGGTAGAGGATGGGAGTTGAGTGTGGCCTCCAGGCTGGGCTGGTGTCCCTCACTGCTGAATGTGGCCTCCAGGCTGGTGTCCCTCACTGCTGAATGTGGCCTCCAGGCTGGGCTGGTGCCCCTCACTGCTGAATGTGGCCTCCAGGCTGGCTGGTGTCCCCTCACTGCTGAATGTGGCCTCCAGGCTGGTGTCCCCTCACTGCCCAATGTGGCCTCCAGGCTGGTGTCCCCTCACTGCTGTACATGGCCTCCAGGCTGGGCTGGTGTCCCCTCACTGCTGTAAGTGCCTCCTTGGTTGCAGGCCTTTGCCATGTGCTTGCCTCTCGTGGACCACTCTGGATCCAGCACCTGTCCCTGCCCTCTGCTGGGGTCAGGTGGGACATGTGAAGCCCCCTCCTCTACCCACTGACGACTAGCCCAGGCAGTCTCCATGTTTTACACTGTAGGGGTGTTGTCAGTGACCCCGTCATTCAGATGTAGTGGGGGCCCAGCCCTGCCTGCCTCATGTGTACGAGTGTTGGGGTGGAGAGTGAACCCTGTTGGCTGTCTGGAGCTGGACAGGATGAGGGAGGTGGGGCTGCTGACCAGTCACCCCCTGAGCCACTGGACACCCTCTTCTTCATTGTTCTTAGAGCCCCCCTTTATTTCAAGCTTCTCCAGAATAGTGAAGTGACCTGGAAATCAGGCTTTAGTCCTGAGGGCTGTGGCCTTGACCTCTGACCCCCAATGGTCAAAACCCCCTCTGTTATATGGGGTTTGGTGAACCCCTGGGTCTCACCATGCCATCCTCTCTTCTCAGAAGCCTGTTTCTGTTCCACTTGCTAATCTGGTCTCAGCTGAGCATGGCATCAGCCCCCTTACTGGGGGTCGGAGGCTTCAGTACCACATGGCCGGCAGACCCCTGGGCCCTTCCCCTGGACAGGGTGGCATGGTGCATCAGGGCAGCCATTGGGATGGGAGGGAAGGAAGGTGATGGGACATGGTCCCTAATTTCCCCATCACAGACACACACACACACAGAACAGAGGCAGTGATCAGCCTTGTATTAGAGGCTGCATCCCCAGGCCGCTTCCCTCTGTGCATTCCGGGTGTGTTCTGGCAACTGGACAGGCGTAAGTGTCAGACAGGACGATTGTCATCCTCCGAAGGGACATGGTGAATGTGTGTGTGCCTTTGTGGGGATGCTGGGAATTAGTGTCCAACACCAGGATATGAATGCCTTCCTCCTCAGGGCAGCCCTGGAACGAGCGGGCATGGTTGAGGGTGGCCATCTTCAGGGGCCGGGGTTCCACCCTGGCTCACCGCCCCGCTACAGTCCTTCCCTAAAGAGATCCCTCCTAGTGCCTGGGGCCATGGTGGGACACCTGCCTCACCCAGTGGGTCTTAGAGCTCATTTCCTGCCCGGGGAGCTTGGGACCCCAACTCCTCATGGAAGGTAGAGTGTGGTGTGTTGGGAAGGTGACTGGGATAGGGTCTGGGCATTGGGACAGCTAAGAAAAGCCTAGTCGTCTTTGTCCTTGGCGCCATGCTTGAGGATGCGGGTGAACTCCACATAGTTGAAGTTGCCCTTCTTATCAATGGGTGCCTCACGGTACATCTCATCCACCTCCTCATCTGTGAATCGGTCACCCATGGTGGTGAGCAGCTCCCGCAGATGGTCCTCATGGATGAACCCTGGGGCACGGCATGACAAGGGCAATCAGGGCAATCTCCGACCGCAGCCACCCATGCCCGCCCAGCCCTTGGAGATCTCGTAGGGGGAGAGGGGCTAGAAGACCCTATTCTGGTCTCCAATCACTTTGAGGGAAAAGGACATGGATGAGAGCTTTGGAAGAGATCTACAGAGGGACTGTCCACAGTGTCTGATGGGACTGTGGCCCCACGAGAGGGAAAACTTGTGGGACAGAAGCTGGCGGAAAAAATGGCAAGGCCCAGTTTGATTTCTGGAAGGCTCAAAGCAGCACGTCACGGGCCAACAGGCACAGTTGGGAGGTGGGACGCCTTGGTAACCATGTGGCACCGGGCACTTGGGGACAGTAACGTCTGGCCTGGTCCCTCCCCTGTAGGCACTGAGCACCCCTGTGCCCCTCCCCAGCCCAGGCCTCCGGTGTGACTGACCTGAGGCCTCCTCGTCAAAGCAGGCGAAGGCATTGCGGATCACATCCTCCGGGTCTGTGCCGTTCAGCTTCTCCCCAAACATGGTGAGGAACATGGTGAAGTTGATGGGCCCTGGCGCCTCGCTCATCATGCCCTCCAGGTACTCATCCGTGGGGTTCTTCCCTGTGGTGAGGGGTGGGCATTGGGGCTGCTATCCCTAGCTCTCTGTCCCCAGCCCGAGTGACTCCTTCCCAGTGACCTCCCGACGACAGTCAACTCTGTAGACTAGGAAACCGGTGCCAGGTGATTTCCTGCTTCTCCTGGGCATCCAGCTCCTGTCCCTGCCTGCGTTTGAGGTTATGAGGGCATGCCACAAGTTCCTGGCTCCCCACCATGCCTGTGTGAGATCAGCTTCCCCCACCCCCAGTGCCACTGTGCCTGGCACACCACCTCCCTGCCTTGAGGGTTTGATTTTCACCTCTGTGCCAGCCAACAGCATCCTTACTGTTTTTCCACAGGCCAGGAACTGAGGCAGAGAGGCGGACAGCTTATCCGGTTACACAGGAAGTGAGGAGCAAGGTCAGCAACCAAACCCAGGCAGTCTGTCCCCGAAACAATTCCAGAAACAATTCAGACATGGCTACATCGGTGAGCGCTGGTGTCACCTGTGCGTGGGTTTAAACCAGCTCTGTGCCTCAGCGTCCTGTCTGGGATTGTGAGGGTGAGCCAGCGGTCCTCACAGTCCTCATGGTCCTCACGGTCCTCACGGCAGTCGGCAGCACAGCTCTGAGAGGCTGCGGTCCGCTTGGTGCAGATCCCAGCAGAACACAGGGATGCTGTGCCACCTTGGGCACATTGCTGGTTCTTTCTGAGTCTCTCCCTGCTGCCCCCAAGAGGGTTGCACAGAGAATTAGGAAGATGTCTTCAGAGCTTACTATTACTTACTTGCTTCCCTTTTTATTTTTTTAACTTGAGGACAATGTTCTTCTTTTTTCCTTTTCCTTTTTCCCCCTTTTTTTTTTGGGTGGGGATACATTTTTTCTTTTATTTGTTCTTCTCTCATATAATACATCTTGACCACAGCTTTCCCTCCCTCCACTCCTCCCAGTTCCCTCCTCCCCACCTCCCCTCTTCCTCAGATGTGCTCCTCCTCCATTTCCCTCCAGACAAAGTCAGGCCTCCCAGGGACATCAACTGAACACGGCATAATAAGATGCAACAAAACCAGACACAAACCCTCCTATCCAGGCTGGGTGAGGCAACCCAGTAGGAGGAAGAGGGTCCCGAGAGCAGTCAGAGACACCCCCATTTCCACTGTTGTGAATCCCATAAAAATAGCAAGCTAACAACCATAACAATATGTGGACTCTGTGATTTTCACTTCAGTCTCTGAGAGCCTCTATGAGCCCTGCTTAGTTGGTTCTGTGGGCCGTGTTCTCCTGGGAGGACAATGTTCTCTAACAGGAAGACCACATCTGCTCCGTGGACCCGCCACACAGGCACGTTTTTCCGAGGAGCTATTTAGGCCCATTCAGTCTCAGGGATGTAAAGCCTCAAATACAAGGTGCGGCCTGACAAATAGGGGAAGTCTTTATGACTGTGTCCCTCTGAGCCTCATGTCTCTTGCCTTGTTTTTATAGGATGCCCAGAGGAGCTCTTAGCCCTGGAGGACCAGCCTATCCTCCCCCGATGGTATTTCCCTCCTGAGATGCTGAGAGGATCCAGATTAGAGTGCTGGGTTTTCTTCTTGGGGAGGGAGGCCTCAAATAAGCCTGGCCTGTGGCTGGGAGGGTGGTGGCACCCTCTTTCCAATTCTGGGGTGCTGGTCTCCCCCCGACAGACCTGTGCTGTGCACCTGAGAACACAATGCCGTTCACACAGGCAGGTCATTAGGGACTGACTGGGATTGTCAAGCCCAGTGGCGTGGCTTGACCCTCACATGGCTGTCCCAGTGCTAGACCCCTGTCTGTCATCTAGTCCTGATCCTTTGCCCCACTGAAGGCTGTGCCAGGAATTGGAGCTAAGGGTGTTCAGCACGTGGGGAAAGACGCGCCCTGGAGGCCTCCCCCCCCCCAGGCCTCAGTGTACCCATCTGAACATTGGCAGCTTAGGCTTGATCCCTGAGCCCTTCTGACCCCAAGACCCTGGTCACTGGGGATATAGTGGAGTGCTCTGGCCTCCCTTCTAATAGTGCCTCAGTTTCCCCATCAGTACAAACTTCCATGTAGCTGCTGGTGCTTTTCTTTAAGTGAGATTTACCACATATCCCAATGCACAGGTCTGCCTTTCCCCAGGGAGTCAGCCTGTCTAGGTGCAAATCCTTGTGCTCTGTGCATCAGTCTGTCTCTCTCTGTTACCTGGGCAGAGTTAGAGCAGTATTACCTGCAGGGTGGCACTACAGGTCTCATGTTACAGGAAGTGCCCTGTAAGTGCCACGCAGCCCTTCTCCCTGTCCTGTGTAGATCCCCATCCACCTGTCCTACTCACCCAGAGAGGCCAGCATGTCGTGGAGGTCCTCCTTGTCAATGAAGCCATCGCGGTTCTGATCAATCATGTTGAAGGCCTCCTTAAACTCCTGGATCTGGGACTGGTCAAACATGGCGAAGACATTAGACGTAGCCCTCTGGGGCCGCTTCTTGGTGGTCTTTGCTTTGGCCCGTTTGCTGGACATCTTGGCTTTGGGTGGTGGGGTTTCCCTGCAGGAAGGGGTGGGATGATGATGGGCATGGAATCTTCCTACCTCCCCCTGACGGCTTTTAGAGCTAAGCTTGGCATTCAAGGCCTCCCACAGGCTCGGGCCTCCAGCCATCCAGTTCTGAGAGCGGCCTGTGGGCTGTGATCCTGAATAATTTCCTCCATCGCTCCTCATGTGGGAATAGGGGCAACAGTTAATTGAGTGTCTAGAGAGCCCCTGGAGTGGTGCTGGGCATAAAAAGAACTAATTTTGCTAGGGCTGGTAAAACAGGATTGGCTTGGTGCCAACCATTCAGGTACACTGTCTACTTTATTCCTTGATAGTATGTGACCACCGTCTCTCAATGATGGGGAGGTAGGGCCCTGCTAGGAGGGGGCTGACCAGCAGCATTGCACTCCTGACATTACCCTCCCTGGTCCTCGCCATCCCTCTACTCCCCCATCCTTTCCATCCCTCTACTCCCCCATCCTCTCCATCCCTCTACTCCCCCATCCTCTCCATCCCTCTGCTCCCCCATCCTCTCCATCCCTCTGCTCCCCCATCCTCTCCATCCCTCCACTCCCCCAGCCTTCTCCATCCCTCCGCTCCCCCATCCTCTCCATTCCTCTGCTCCCCCAGCCCTTTCCATCTATGCTGTGTCCCCTTCCCCCTCCACCATCCCTCTGGGCTGTGGAACCCAGCTGCTTTCCTCGGGGAGGCTGACTGGTCCCTAGTGTGTGACAATTTCATCCTTGGCCCTCCATCACTTTCTGTACATTGAAGCTCCCTCAAGTTGAAACCATAGATCCATTTAGATGTGGCTTTTGGCCTTGAATAGTCTCTTCTATCCCGTTCAAATTCAGACCTTCACCTGTCTCCTTAAAACCTTCAAAGGTGGAGCTAGAGAGATGACCCAGCCTTAAGAGCACTGGCTGCTCTTCCAGAGGTTCTGAGTTCAATTCCCAGCAACCACATGGTGGCTCACAACCATTTATTAGAAGGATCTGATGCCCTTTTCTGGCATGCAGGCATACATGCAGATAGAGCACTCATATATACATAAAATAAATAAATAAATAAATAAATAAATCTAAAAAAAAAAAAAAAACCTTCAAGGTTTGTACTGTTCTCGCCCAATACCCCTGGGTAAATCTGGGTCCCCCAGCCCAGCATTCAAGGCCCCAGTGTGTTCTCCCAGCTTCTGGCTGATCCTGGCCCATCACACTGTGTCCCCTTGGAGAGGTCATCCTTCTGGTGACCTTCCTTCCAGAACCTTCCTCCAGCTGGGCTCTGGAGTCCCCGGGGTGCTGTTCTTTGCCCTTGTCTTGACAACCAATACTTGTAGACTCCCTCATCCCTTACCGATAGCACAGCTCACAGCAACAGGCTAGTTGATGACTCTTTGGTGAAAGGTTGTATGAGCTCCCCTACAGATGGGGAAACTGAGGCTAGGGAAAGCACTCAACCTGAACCCGTCATAGACTTAGTGTCCGCTTCCCCTCACCTAGCCAAGGCCCCAGTATGTCCACCCCTCTGTCCTGTGTTCTGTATCCCTAGGCCCAGGGCCTGTGCACTTCTTCCTCTGTCCCTGCCTGTAGTACCCCACCCCCAGGTCCCCCCAAGCTGGGATCATGGTCAGCGCCAGCAGGTCCTCAGGCTACTCAAGCTGTGTAAGGCCCAATGGGCCCCCACCACACACCAGGTTTTGGTGTTTGTGTGGTGCTGGATGGGGGCTGGTAGGAACCGAGGGCAGGAATGTTGTCCTTGGAAGCTGGCCCTCCCCTCTCCTGTGGCCAGGCTGAGATGGACATCCACACTGCCAGCCCCTCCTGTCTGCAGACCTCTAGGGCAGGCCCAGCCAGGCCCCCCTATTCCTCGTTGTTATAGCCACCTGTATCTCTGCCCTCTTTATCCTAGCACTCTTGAGAGGCAGGTCCCGACCGACCACCTGCCCCGGCCCCCCACTCCCCCACCACCACCAAGAGAAGTGCATACCCATGAAAGGGTTGGATACCAGGATACCATGTTAGACTGGGGGGCAGTGGGTGGCAAAGGCTGTGGCCAGGTAGTTTCTAGACTTGGTTGAGTGAGTAGAGGTCAGGGCTAAGCTGAGTGAGCCCTTAGCCCTGAAGCCGTATTTTTCTCTTTCTTGGGTCCTAGACACCAAGGATCGGACAGCTGGGACTTGGCCTGGCCATGACTAGACCCCTTCTTCCTACAGGAACAGCTGACACCAGGCAGAAGCCAGCCTGGGCCCCTTACTCATCCCTATCCCCACAGCTGGGCAATGCCAGACGCCCTGCTCTTGAACCAACTTATCAGAGAACAGGCACTCCACATCCCCGGAAGCAACCAGGGATGTGGAGGGCTGTGAAGGAGCAAATACCAGGACTTCCCCATCTCATTGCTCTGTCTGGCGCACACAGCACTGGGGTACAGGCAGTGGGAGGTGTCAGGGCGGTCACCATCCCTTTCTCCTGCCCCAGGGTGTGCAAAACGGGAAAAAGGAAACCTGGGCTCTGCAGGGCTCAGTTTCCTCTGACACACACCGTTTCTCGGGTCAGGGCCTCCGTCACCCCCATCCCCTCATCGGCATCTCTACAGGCAGGTAGCCCGGAGCTCTGGGCTTGGTGTGTGTGGGGGGCTCCTTAGCAAAAGGCACTCTGGACACTCTTCCTTGCCCAAAGACCAGTTTTCCGGGGCGTAGAACCATCAATTGCTCAGTCCGAGCCAGGGTCCCCGTAGGACCCGAGCAAGGCAGCAGCCCCAGCCCACACCACTCTGCATGCCCCAGCCCTTGAAGGGCCGGGTGAGGTTCGGCCTGACCACCTACTGTAGCTGCCCAGGCGCTGCGCCGGCTCCCACCTGCTGCAGAGAAGAAAAGTCCCGGGCGGTGCTGCGCGGCCGTGTGAGCTGGCGGGCAGCCGCTGTAGCCACTGCTCTGAGCTCGGGGGGTGGAGACCCGGCTGGCAGGACCGCCGGCGGTCAGGCCTTACAAGGCAGAAGAATGCGCGGGGGTGGAGAGGGGGGCGGGGCCGCGGCAGCCAGCCCGGGCCTTATTAGGTCTCCGCTCGCAGGCTGGGAAGTTGAGGTGCTCCTGGAATAGCCCCCCTCATCGCTGCCCATAGCGGGGTCGTGGAAGCAGGCTGGGGCATGGAAGCAGAAGGAGGTATCCAGACTGGCAAGAAGGGTGGAGCCTTGAGGGTTTCCCAGCTCTCCGACCCCCTCCCCGTCTGTCCCGTACCCCCCACCCCCACCCCCGCTGTGTCGGGTTGGGAGGGCTGGCTTTCACTCGGCCAAGTATGGTCCTTTTTTTTTTTTTCCAGTGGGAACCGAGGACAGTGCTCGCAGGCGCCATCACACTTGCCCTAGGGAACTTTAACAACATCCAGTTACTCTGTAAATAGCTGCCTGGCCCTGCGATGGGGTGACTCATGCATCTGCCCAGGGAGCCCTGGGAAGGAGGCGTGAAACCGCCAAGACATGGCACGGTTCTGAGCAGAAGGGTTCAGTGACCTGGGTTGAAAAGGACTAAGGGTGACACTGGGGACCAGCGGGATGCTATTGAGAGGAGTTGGAGCCAGAGGTGGTGTTTCATGTCAGGACCCTGAGGCAGCAGGATTGCCACGAGTTCAAGGCCAGGATGGGATATAGCGTAGGTTCCAGGTCAGCCTGAGCCACGGAGTGAGGCTATCTGAATAAATAGAAGCTAACAGCTGCCGCGGGCAGCATTAGAGGCAACAGGTGAAACACTTCCGGAAGTAGAACTTCGCAAGTTTAGTGTAAGCGCCAGGAGCCACACAGGAAAAGGCTGGGATTTCAGTGCCTTAGCATGCAGCCCGCTGGAGGACAACAGAGCGAGCGGACAGACGTGGGGGAGAGGTGATGGTTGGGGCTCAAGCGGCAGCAGGAAGTTGGGCGAGAAGGGGAGGAGCCCTGGAAACAGTTCGGTGCTTCCGCCAATAGGACTTGGAAATGGATCCAAACGGACTGAGAGGGGAGGAAGTTGGCTCCAAGAAATAAGAAAAAACTTTCTTTTGAAATTGCATTTATCTGTGAAGGGAGTTGGTGTGGAGGTCAGTGGACAACTTGGAGGAATCAGTTCTCTCCTTCCTCCGTATGTGGTCTGGAGACCAGGCTTGACCACAGGTGCCTTCACCACTGAGCCTCCCACCCCTCTCAGGCTCGAGGATTTCAGGGGAGCAGCTGGAGAGAGCTGGGCAGAGTGGGTGTGGGTGGAGCAGATTCGGGAGAGATCCATTTCATCTTGGATGAATTAATTTTTGGAAACGTTCTCTTCAAATAATTTCAAGCATACAGTAAGGTTACAAGAATTGTACAGAAAACTGACTTCATGGAGGTTCTCCAGTTGGCCTTTGGCTCTTCCCTCTTCCCTGTGAGTGTGGACGGATCCCTCACACTCGGTAGTGAACTGTACATTCCAGGCCTTTCCTCACAACATACAATGTTAGTACATCCTAAAAGGAAGGGTCTCACATCATAAGGTTTAACATGGATGTAGGTGTCTAGTTTCAGTTGTGCCTCATATTCCAGGGATATCCTGTATGGAAATTTATTCTGGTTCAGGGTGTTGTCATGGTCTTTAATCTGTGTTGGGGGGGAGGGGACGCACACATCAAATACACATGACATGAAACTTGCCATTTTAACAATTTTTGTTGTTGTTGTTTTTTGAGACAAGGTTTCTCTGTGTAGCTTTGCACCTTTCCTGGATTTCGCTCTGTAGACCAGGCTGGCCTCGAACTCACAGAGATCCACCTGGCTCTACCTCCCGAGTGCTGGGATTAAAGGCGTGCACCACCACCGCCCAGCCCATTTTAACAGTTTTTAAAAGGTTGTTTTTTTTTGTTTGTTTGTTTGTTTTTTTCTGAGACAGAGTTTCCTTACATATCCCTGGCTATCCTGGAACTCATTATGTCGACCAGGCTGGCCTTGAATTTATAGAGATCCACCTGCCTCTGCCTCCTGAGTTCTGGCGCTAAAGGTGTGTGCCACCATGCCCAGATTCCTTTTTTTTTTTTAATTTATTTATTTTTATTTTAAGTGCATTGGTGTTTTTCCTGTGTGTATGTCTGTGTGAAGGTGTCTGATCCCCTGGAACTGCATTTACAGATAGTTGTGAGCTGCCCTGTAGGTGCTGGGAATTGAACCCAGGTCCTCTGGAAGAGCAGCCAGTGCTCTCAACCACTGAACCATCTCTCCAGCCCCCATGCCCAGTTTTAAAAGGGTCTTAAAATTACATTTTAGATGGTGTGTGCGTGGGTATGTGCATATAAGCACTGGTGTCCCTGCAGCTAGGAGGCTTTAGACTTCTGGAACCAGAGTACAGAGGAGTTGTAGGCTGCCTGCTGTGTGCACTGGGAACCAAATTTAGGTCCTCTAAAAGAGCCATGCTTGTAACCACTGAGCCATCTCAGCCGCTTTAAAAATTGTTTAGTTGTGTGCCTGATGGCGTGAGGTACAGGTCCAAGGGCATCCTGTGGAGGTTGGCGGAGACTTCATGGAGTTGGTCCTTTCCATCCATCTTTATACAAGTGCTGCTTGTGAGCGCAGGTCACCAGGCCTTTGCCACAAACCCCATTCCCTCTGACTCATGTGTATGTGTGGGGTGTACATATTATAACTATACACACATAGACACATACGATTTTTTGAGATGTCTCATGTAGCACACGTTGGTCTCAAACTCTGTGCCCCTGAGTTTATCCTTGAATTCCTCTTCTACTTCCCAAGTGCTAAGATTACAGGCAGTGTTGGCGAATCAAACCCATGGCCTCCTGCATGCTAGGCAAGCACTCTTACCAAGTGAGACACACACACACACACACACACACACACACACACACACACACACACACCACACACACACACACACACACACACACACACACACACACACACACACACTTTGAGCTGAGCATAGTGGCATATACATTCTAATCCCAGCATTCAGGAGGCAGAGGCATGCATATCTCTGAGTTCAAGGCCAGCCTAGTCTACATAGTGAGTTCTGGGCTAGCCAGAGCTACAGAGTAAGATCCTACCTGACAAAAAAGACAAGGGCTGTACCATGGAGCTACATGTCCAGCCCCCATTTCCTTACTTTTTAAAGCTGAATACTGCTCCATTGTCTGAATGTGCCATATTCTGATGAACCACCTTTGGATGGATATTTATTTTGTCTTCCTGTTTTGATTATTGGGCATACTGCTCCATCCAGGGGTCTAGCTCAATGGCAAAACACCTGCTTAGCCTGCATGAAGCCTAGCAATGCAAAAGAAAAAGGAAGTGAATGAAAATGCTGCCTTTAGATTATGTTTAGATTTATTTGAGTGCATAGTATCTCATCGGCATGCATGTCTGTATACAGTGGACTGCCTAGTGCCAATGGAGGCCAGAAGAGGCTGTCAGATCCCAGGACTAGAATTACAGATGGTTCTGAGCTGCCACGTGGGTGCGGGGAATTGAACCAGGGTCCTCTAAAAGAACAGCAAGTCCCCAGCATTGCTCCTCCCCCTGACTTTTTTGAGATGATGCTGGACTTGAATTTGAGGATAATCTTTAATTTCTTTTTCTTTTCTTTTCTTTTCTTTTTTTGTTTTTTTGAGACAGGGTTTCTCTGTGTAGTTTTGGTGCCTGTCCTGGAACTCGTTCTGTAGACCAGGCTGGCCTCGAACTCACAGAGATCTGCCTGGCTCTGCCTCCCAAGTGCTGGGATTAAAGGTGTGTGCCACCACCAGCTGGCTGAAAGGTTTCCTTGATCTGACCACTTTACTGCATGCCTTGCAGCCTTCTCTGACCATGTGAGCCAAGCCTTAATCCCACCACACAGCTCCACATGTGGCACTGACTGGCTCCAACGTCAGGCAGTGGTCAGGAGCCGCATCTCGGTACTGCAGGACTAGGAAGCTACATCCAGCTCCTTGTCCAGATCCTTCCGTAGCTTTCTCAGGCCCTGTGTTGGGATAGTCAAGCCCTGCATTGGGTGCTCTGTGTTACAAGTCTTTCTCTGTACCACCAACTCCCAACTAATGACACGGAGACTTATTATTAATTATGAAAGCTCAGCCTGTATATAGCTTAGGCTTGTCCCATTAGCTCTTCATATAACTTAAAAATTAACCCATTTAATCTACATTTTATCTCATGGCTTTTTACCTCTCTTCCATCTTGTACCTCCTGTTTCCTCTCAGTGTCCTCTAGGGTCTCTTTCATGCCTTGATTCATCTCCTCTCCTCTCTCTCTGCCTGGAAGTCCCACCTAACCTCTTCCTGTCTAGCTACTGGCCATTCAGTTTTTTATTAAACTAATCAGAAAGCGCCTTTCAAAAGACACATCTTCACAGTGTACAAAAAGATTATTCTACAACATTGTGGTCTTCTGGTGCTCTCAGACTCTGTAACACTAGCCCCTTGTAATCCTTTTTTTTTAAATTAAAATTTCATTAGCATTTTTCTTTTATTTTTGAGGTTCTAGTATAATTGTATCATTTCTCCCTTCCCTTTCCTCCCTCCAAACTCTCCCATATACCTCTCCTTGCTATTTCAAATCCTTGGTCTCTTTTTACATTTGTTGTATACACATGTATTTTCCTAATTTATACATACATATACATATTACACACACATATGTTATATGTAAATATATATTCCTGCTCTGTCTGTATAGTGTTACTTGTACGTTTGTATGCAGGGCTGACCATTGGTAATGGAGAACCAATTGGTATGCTCTCCCTTGAGGAAGACTCTCTCTCCCACTCTGAGCATCCCTTAGTTGCTGTAGTTCTTTGTGTAGGGTTGAGGCCTCACGGACTTTACCCATCCACTTTGGCATGCTGTTGTCCTTGGTCAACTCATGTGTAGGGCAGCCATGTTGGTGAGACTTCCTGAGTGCAGTTTCTGACATCCTAGGAGACACAGTCTCCCAGCAGACTCCCTGGTCCCCCGGCTCTTATAGTCCTCGCCTGTCATTCTTGCTGCTGCTGCTGCTGCTGCCGCTGC